GTCGTGTAGCACTCGTTATACCACCGCTACTATTGCTATATAAATATTATTATATTAATAAAAAAACTTTATCACCAAGATTTATGAATGTAAATATTTAAAAATTATTTCAGAAGAATGAAATCTTTTTAAGTAATATAGAGCTTATTAATAATATTTATGAATCATTATAAAATATTTTATAAAGATTTTATTAAAAATTTATCAAAACAATATCTAAGCAATAGAAATAATACATTCGATGTATGTCATATAAAATATTAATGGCGATAATATTAATTAATTAAATTGAATGATAAATAACATTGTATATTAAAATTAAAAGTAACAATATTTTATTCAACTTTTATTCAAGTACATTGTTAATAGTTTATATAATATAAGTATATGAAAAATATTTAAATTGATAATAGTATTGTAATACGTACTTTTAATACAACATAATTATAAGTATTTTAAATAAACAATTATTTGCATTAGGATATTTTAACAAATAAACTTATTAAATTGAAATCATATCATATTATTGTTAAATAAAATATATAATCATTATATAATCGTATATATTAAATAATATGTTCGATAATAATATATTCGATTATGCATGAAAATAATATACTATTAAAATAATATAGTCAATTTCTTAAGATTACTGTTCTATAAAACATATTTCGGACAATTATCCATATCAATTATATAAGCAAAGACTTTGACTAAATAAAAATTTTATTTAATATATCTGTCGTAACTTAGATATTCAATATCGTGAGAAAAAAAAAATTAAATAATGTAAAAATAATGTTTGCAATAACGTTGCTTGGAATATCGAAGCGCATGAATAGTAAATTCATTTCATTGAATAATTTTCATATCATTATTATTAATGATGTAACAATGTATTAATAATGAAAAACAGTTTATAAAATGAATACTTTTGCTTCGATAACTGGAATGAATGATACTTTTCGTTGAGTGAAGAAGGAATTGTTTAAAAAAAAACTTGCCGATAATATTTGCTTACGGAAAATATCTTTTCAAAAAGTACACAAGCCAACAAAATCAATCAATCAAAATCAGTCGAGTAATAATACATTAGTATAACATTTTCGCATATTTATGTTATACCATTCAGTATATAAATATTATAACGTGGAATTTGTTAACAGGAGGACTAAGGAGCGACTACACGACTTCTTGTGCTTTTCAAATCGTCGCCACATCCAAACTTTCGAAGATGGTCAGCCCTTATCAAACACGCGTTCTCTTCGTCCCTCGAGTCTCGTTGCCCAGAATCCGAGACCAGAAGAAGCATCCCGATCTAACAACAGCAGTATTCGTTCTGATCGCGGTATTGCCTCAGTGGATGCTGTAAGTGACTCTTATGTAGCTCATAGCTCTAGACCGACAAGTCAGGCTACTTGGAGCAATCCGGATGTACTTGCTGTTGGTTGCGGATCGTGTAAGACTGGGATTGTCTCTCAAGCGCAATCGATGTGAAAAACAAGAGCGTTTGAGAGAGAAAGCGTGTCATAATATTAATGTTCAACATTAACGAGGATTACTTTGATGTAGTGTAGGCTATCATTTTTAGCTCTATAATTGATTTTCCTATTAAACAAAGATGTTATAAAACAAAAAAATAAAAAATAAAAAAACCTTATTCTACAGTGTCATTTGTGAAATAAATAAATAATGGTTCTTAGAGGAGTGTATAAGTGATTTTGCTAATAGAACATTCGATGAAAGGATTAGCAGATTATCTGTTTATTATCTGCTTTATTTAGCGTAAAGTATTTAGATAATGATTTTTGGTAGTTTGGTAGTACCAATAAATTTTACATTAATTTCTCATGCAATCGACTTTAGTTATGAATTCGTTGAAATTCGTTTGCAAACAGCAATCAATCGCTTTGATATTTAATCCATCGAATTGAAAAAAAAAAGTAATACGAAGACAGAAAGATAAAAAGAAATTAATAAAAATATAGTCAAATGCGATGTGTTTCTGAAAATAATTGTACAAAGTAGAAATTAATAGTTAAAATAAATTATTTCATATTATATTATTGTAAATATTGGTCATCAAGCTAAAGAAATTGAATTGATCGTTTAAGCGCAAAATGCTTTTTTAACCTACGCATACTTACTCTCCTGTTACATTTATTACTTTATTATATACGACTGTTATTATTCGGAACTTACTACCTAATAAAATGAATAATTATGATTAAGAAATTATGAAACCCTTTTTGGTATTAATATGTACAAATTATTTAAATCAAAATTCAAATGTCATTTTGAAAACGATTAATTATATAAAAAGAAAATTTCAATAACCAGTTGAGTAATAAGTATTATTTATAAGATCTTTAAATATATTTTCGATCTTAACAAAGATTTTTATAAATAATTTCGTATAAAATATTCTCCGATACTGTACAACGTAATAAGCCATTAATAATTTATTATTAAATCATTATTTTAAAATTAGGAGTGGCTTTAGTCACTTATGAAGTCACTTAGAAATTAGAAAATATTAACATTGATTCGTTATAAAACGCTTTAGAATTTTTATTCATAATTTTACAACATAGTGAGCTAAACCGCAGTAAATTCTTCTATAAATGTGATGTCACTGTGATTAATCAATCTATCTATTTACTTTAATCTTTATAGATTTACATTGGCAAAATACTTAATTGTGCCAATCAAACTTTATGCCTGTAAAATCTAATAGTATATGCCAATAAATGAAGCTTTTCGAAGAAAATAAAATAAACACGACATTCATTGACCAATATTCTTTGTAATCTTATTTTAATCACGTCTTCTTTTCTTTTCTTCTTGAAACAGATATTATTTTAATAGTGGAAACATTCTTTATTTTCAAACAGGAAAACAACATATACTTTACCATCGACTCAAATTGTAATTGTTCGTCGAGAGTGAAACGAAAATCTCGCGAATTGTATTCATTAGGAAAATTTCAACGGCTATTATAAAAGGGAATTATCGAACGGGCATAAAAATCTAAGAAAATCTCGCCAAGGTTGCCGAATGCTCGAAAAGGAATAGTACATTTGAAAATTACTCGGTAAACAGCCACTTTATTAACATTCGTACTACAGACGTAGTAATTGTTTTTAATGCAATAAACGTTCCATGATATTTACCATCAAAACCCGGCTAGTTTGTTTACAAGAGTATATTTTGAGGATTAAAATATTTCTAAACAGTTGAATGAAAACATTTCATAAAAATCCGTTGCAACCCGAAACTCGGCACGCGCGACTCTCGACATTTGCGTCGCACGTGTGCCTTCAATGCCACGAGGGTCATACGCATCCATTGTTGTCAAGTTCGAGACATCAATGTTGCTTGCTTGCATAGGCAAAGCGAAGACGTTTGACCAAAAATCACCACCACCCTGATGAGTCCCGGAGAGGGGCAAATCTTCCACTTCACGCATTGCCGCCAGAGATACTCCTTCGATATTCTCTCTCTCTCTCTCTCTCTCTCTCTCTCTCTCTCTCTCTCTCTGAGTCTTGGCCTAATTTCTTCTGAAATGAGAAAAGGGTGTGCACATTCATCATGCCGCCGAAAAGCGGCGCGCTATGATTGGAAAACTAAGCCAAAAAATTCCTTGAGTGGGAACTCGTGGCAAGAGGCCTTAAAGGTGGGGCATAGCCTATTCGCCTAGAGAAGCCTAATCTGAGGAGAACGCAACGCAGTAGTATGCATTAATAAATTAGAGACAAGTATATTGCGATAACCCACTGACCAGACTAAGAATAATACTGTATCCCTGTGAGTACAAGGATCATCCTGCACGGATTTGCTTTGCCGCGTTCCCTGGTGAACCACTCACCCCTGGATCAGATCAAGACTACGGTATCGCTGTGAGTACACAAATCCGCTCTATCTACTCAAATATTGTTAGCCAGCGGCAAAACCGGCACAACACAACCATTAACAAATATTTCACACTCTCTAACAAGAAGTGTGCAGTAATTATTTGTCTTTACAATTATTCAATTCAACATCAATTAAACGATCTCAAGAGCATCTTGTGTAGTGCGACTTCCCATACAAGAAACCGTTCAAGAAATCGTATCTTCACATTAGACTCGAGAAGATTCCTAGACACCCATATGTAAATTGTTTAATAAATTGTATAATAAATGTATAATTAATCAACTCTCACGACTCTTGTACAAGCCCTTCCATCCATCTCCATCCCGGGTGTCTAGGGTGCTAGGGTGGGTGGCAAACTAAGCTATCGAAGCATTGACAGTTCGAGTCCAGAATTGCATCACTAATTTCCAACAGTAATCTACAATAAATAGTGCAATTAGAACGCGAGTGCGTGCGTGCGTGCGTGCATTGTACGTCATATAACGCATGAAAGAATCAAGTTATTTCTTTTGAAGGTAAATTAATTCTATTGTGCTTTTAAATTTCTTAATCTTTATTTACTATTGATGTACATCAATGATGATGTACAATAAAATATACCTTGCAATTATTAATTATTATTGTTGATGCAAGATATTAAGATATTATCATTTTTATTTCTACTGACGACTGCCCTTATTATTATCATTGTACCTTAAATTAAGTAATACTTATTCAATCAATTCTTGAACCTCTCTATTATCGCGAATAATTATCAAAAATTTTAATACGACAAAAATTAATTTTTTTATTATTTATAATCAGGTCCAATCTATCCAATATAAATATATATAGATAAAATTAGCTCTGTTCGCATACGTGCAGTAAGATGGCCATGTTTATTTTACAATTTTAGGATATATTTATCATTTAAATTCAAAATATAAATAAAATTTTCTTTTTAACTGATATGATCTGACGCACTTAATGATTCTTATTCGTTTTTTCATACGCGTTCGTACTGCACATATTTCTTACATTTATATTAAAATACGATTCGACATGTATAATTTAATATTTAAGAACATTTTAAAAACTACATTTAATAACGTTTTTTCTTTGTTATTATTAAAGGGAAGATATCTATGAAATTCTCGCCTTAGCTAAAATTTGACTATTTTCATATATTTCATAAACTAATTCTAAATGTTTTAAACTATAACACGAAATCGTATAATCCAAATTGTAAATGAAATCAAGTACTTGCATTTCATGTCTTATATCACACACACACACACACACACACACACACACACACATCTTGAATTTTCGTTATTCAATTACTTTGGTTTTCTTTTGTTATTCCATATTTTAATAAGATATGGAAATTTAATTGACTTTACCTTTCTTCACGGATTTTTATTCTTTGGAATTTATTATTATTTTATAAACTCCGCCTGCTTTATTAAAAATGCAATCGTAATTACCAAACTCTCTTTTCTCTTCTTAGCATATTCTTGTAGCTCTTTTAATAATTAATTTTTTCCCTTACGAATTCTTATAATTTTCTAGATTTAATAATTCACCACACTTATATATTCTTTTATATATTTATATATTCTTATCAGTATATAGATAGAATATCAATAAGTAAATATATATTCTTTTCAATTACTATTTAAATTCCTAATTTATTTTTTTTTAATTTAGATTTATTATACAACTCGCAAATTCTTCATTTTTGAATAGCAGCACTGCTACACTCCAAGATAAATCTTTGATATTCTTGAAATCATGAATCTTGAAAATAAATCTTGAAATCTAATATATATATATATATATATTAGATATATATATATATATATATATATATCGCATTTCTTTTGATTTTTACCATATTTATACTACATTTTATCGTACTCGTTCGCTTTACATTCCCTTTACTCTTTTAACTGGACTGATCTATTTTATATCTTATCTGTAGTTTTTAAATTTTATTATTTTATTTTATTTGTTACAAAGTATTCTTGGTATAGGGGAAAGCTTACAAATCATTCGTATCTTATATTACAGAACACTTTTCTTTTATAAAATAATTATAAATATAAATATTAAATTAAAATTTTTAAATAATTACATGCAACTAAATATTAATGTACTCATTTAATGAAAAATATTTCAATTTATCTGATTTATTCAAGACTGCATCTATTCAAACTTATATATATTCAAAGTATTACAAAATTATATATATTAATAAATAAAAAATTCTCAATTTTCTTTTTTCAAAATCGGTATTGTGGGTATTTATGATAATAAATTTTAATAATATAGTGGAAACTAAATAACGATAGTTCCAATTATTGTTATTAATTAAATATTCTATTATTATATATTCTAATAATGTCGGTCTTAAATTTCGAATATCTATTAAGCTTCTAATAATGAATGTTATATATTCAAATATTAATCTATTCTATATCGATTTGTAGTTTGATATTACATACAATAATATACAATAGTAAATAAAATAAGAAAAATATCAAATATAATACAATAAATTGTATATAATAATTAAATATTATAAATTATAATAAATACTGCTATAATAAACTAATCTTAAAATGTTTCGATTTGTTATTAA